GGTTGCTGTCCTCTGGAATTGTGCTTTGCCACGATAGTGTTGACCACCCGCCCTAGCCCTGATCTGGCACCAAGTGATTACCACCTTTTCATGCACCTAAAGAAGTGGCATCCCAGCGTTTTGAAACTGATGATGAACTGCAGACAGGCATTAATGAATGGTTCAAGACGCTCGCAGCAGAATTTTATGACACTGGAATTAAGAACCTGGTGCCACAATACAAAAATGTGTTGAAGTCAATGGTGACTTGTTGAGAAATAATGTAAATGTGTTGTTCACTTTTTGCTGCAATAAATCATTTTTATTTATAATTTGTCCATTTTATACTGGAATTACTTAAAAAATGGCCTTGTAGCTCTTTATATATTATGATCACATTAATGAACAGGCAGACAGACTTGCTGGATCTGCACCAATGGGTAACAAGCAACGGAATCAGTAGAGAATGAAGATTATTATGGCCTGGAGAGAATGAGGCACCTGGATGTAACCAGAGGGTCTAGCCGGCTCACTACACTCAGAGGAAACGCAAGACGGACATTTAACCGGATTGTGACTGGCTGCCGAAGATGAGGATAGAGGATGTATTAAATTGCCCTGAAAGCTGTGATGTCAATTCTTGACTCAACTCAACTTAACTCAACTGTAAAATGTCAGCCATTCTGCCATTTAGCAACAATGAAAAGAAAAGAATAGCAAATAATGCAAAGGAGAACCATGTCAACACCTGTGAGCTGCATACCCACTTCAACACTACACAGGAAACTTCACAACTAATGCACTGTAACCCTAATAGTTTATCCTTAGCATATGAGTGAAAACATATAAAACCTCTGGTGGAAACAATAATGGCCTAACCCAATCCATGCTTGACCTCAAGTTCTAAACTCAGTCATGACCAAATTTGTTTCTCTGTAGATGACAAGTTACAGCACCAGACACAAAACACTGATTGGTTCTGGGTGTGGACAGCAGAAGAACAACCAATATCAGAGGTGCATTTCTTCTGTAAAATTTCACAAGCCAGTCTTTTGTGCTCACTGGGTCAACTCTAAAACAAACAGAAATGAAAACAGACTGCTTGATTTGGCTCTGTATGAAGCCAGAGAAATAAACATAGCAGAAAGCTAAATGGGCAGCAAACCAAATTTGTAATCAGTTTACAATACTGTTCATTAATTCATTTTCTAGAGCAAAGTTATATATGTTTTTGAATTGTAGCCAGGATATCCCTGATATACAGCAGATATATTAGTTATTAACAATATGGCTAATTGAAAAATCAGCACCACTATACCACAGTACTTAGCATACATGCCAGTGGAAACTGAGGATTTAAAAATGAATAAAGTATCGCACTTACATAACTAACAAAAAAAATTTTTTGTTAGCACTTTGCGACAAGGATGATTGAATTAAATATGTCACAAACTGATAAACAAAAGATAAGATACAAATGTCCCTGACAAACTGATAACACCAATGTTAAATTAGGAAATAACACTTCTATGACATGTTGATATCAAAGGTGTTAATCACAACATTATGCCCTGTCAATGTGATAACAACAATGTCAATTTCAACAATGTATCCATATCAAAGTAATAACAAGAAACAAGCAAATGAATAAACTATATTTTTTAAAGGGTCACAAAATAAGTGCACATGCCCATCTTTCATTCGGCCTTCCAAATACTCCTCTTTCAGATAACAGTAATATTTCATACATAAAACAGAACAAACAACATACTTCCATAACAAACTGGCCAGTATATGTGCCCGTCATGGTAGAGCTCTGACCAGCAGCTAAGATTCCAACTGCCCAGATATACATAGCTGGTGGTCCAAACTGGCATCCAAGGAACACACCCTGAGGGAAAATATGCATGATGATGATGATGATCAGACAAAATTAAGGCTGTGAAATTAAATACTTTTTAAATCCACATGCTCACACGATACATTTAACTAAAACACAGTGCTGTATACAATTGTAAAGCAGGGTTGTGTGAGGTAGACAGGTACTATTTTTAATGTTTTATAAAAATGTACATTTAAATTGATTACTTGCTTACATCTCTCTTACACATCTATCTCTCTCTTTGCATCGCTCTCTAGTTACTGATAATGCTCCTGAAGAATTCCCCTCTCTGACACTCTCCATCTCTCTCATTACTGATCTCTCTCATTATTGATCTCGCCCTTCATGGCTCTCTTTCATAAACAATTTCTATTACTGAACATGGCTCTAATTGAAAAGAATACAATGAGACATCCTTATGTTATTTTCCATTAGCTCTGTGTACTTTTAACTCATTCTCTGCCTAATATATTACTAGTTACTTCTTTTCTTCTGCATTCATCCTTCAAAGTGGTTGGCACGGTGTGTTGTGGTTTACAGAGAGGCTGTGCCTTTTGGACTAATACATCAGGTTTTTGTGTTTTTTTAAATACTCATGGTCATGTCTGATGTGAGATGACAATGATCTCAAAAATGAACAATCAGATTTCTGCAAACCATTAGTTACTCACCTTTAACAACAGCAGTTGACCCCCACCCCCCAAATTCCCAAACACTCTGCGAACTGGTTACTCCATTTATTACATACTACTTCATCCTTTCTTATTATCAAATTGTAATAGCAGGGTGATAGCTTGATAGCTGGCTGAAGATGATTCACTGTGGGACAGAGGTCAGGTCACACATATCGGGAGATGACACAGTGAAAGTGTGCATACCATGACCCAGCTAATCCTTTGTGGGTTTTGTGCTTTGGCCCATGCAATCAGCTTGGGGTCATTTGGGAACAAAACTTTGAATGCTGACATATCAGAAAAAGTCTTGATAAAGAAACTATGCTCGAGCCACTGAAACTGGTGTCTTGACTTTAGTGATAGGCTTTTTAGTGTAGATATGATACACTACACCTCTCACTCTTGTTAGCACGTAGACTCCAGTGGAAAGTCATGGACTTTAGTCTTGTTAAAAAAGCTTGAGTTTTGCATGCTCCTCTGTTTTACCGATCTGGCTAATTTTTAAGCAGACTGGTGATTCTTCACCTCTCAGGCGGATGCATTCTAACTATGCAGGAAACACCCATTATTAGTTGCCTCCTATGACATGCTTGTTAGGAGGTTATGGGTCTATTCTTTATTCTCTAAAATGAAGCCCGAGAACCTTCTTCTTCTTCTTCTCTTCCACCTTGTTCCTCATTGAAGTGTCGGGGGAGATGTAATGTTCGTTGATGAGCTCTGTCAATAGCACTATTAAGACTTATGTTCATTTCTGTAAGGCTGTTCTTAATTTCATAACTCCATCTTTTCTGAGGTCTTCCACTCGCTCTATACCCGTTGTAACATTTTAGTGTGGATTGCTGTGGCAGATAGTACCAGGGAATTCTTGTTAGGTGTCCAAACCACTTCATTTGTTGTTCTTTGATGACCTGTAAGACTGGCTTTATTCCTAGCATTCGTCTGATTTTGTGATTTCGAATTCAATCTTTCCTTGAAACTCCTGCAGCTCTTCTAAGGCATTTCATCTCTGTTGTCACAATTTTACGTTTATTGGAGGATGTAAGTGTCCACATTTGGCATTGATAGCATAGTGTTGGCGAAAAAATAGTTCTGATAAGATTCACTTTAGTACTCCAAGGTATCTGCTTGTGTGTCAACAGGGAAGATAGTTTTCCCCATTACTTGATTAGCTTTGGCACATCTTGAGCTCATTTCTCTGTCCAGTTTTCCGTCGGATGTGAAAATTACTCCCAAATACTTAAATTCCTCTGTTTGTCTTAAGGTGTTGTTTTTTAATTTTATTTCTAAATTGTTCGTGCCCCAGAAACCACATGGGGAAATCCATTTTACAGATCTGGCTTAATTGTTTGTAAACTGTTGGTTCCTTGCCTCTCAAGCAGATATAAAATGACTTTGAAGTAAAGCCCATAATCAGTTGCCTGTTATGGCTTGCTTGTTACAAGAGGTAGGCGGTGTTCACATCTTCCTCAGCGGGACCCTGGAACCCACATTTTTAAAAGACACTGCATGTGGTGTGGTTTAGAAGAATTATGGTTCTGCAAACACAGCGGCTGTTATGTTGTATATTTCTGTTCATGAAACACAGGAGAATTGTTCTTGGGTCAATCTGCAGATGAATCCAATAATTTTTTGCTTCATAAGCAAGAGTCAATGCTCAGTAGAATATGACAATGTCCAACAGTACTAATTAGATACAACAACCAGACATGGACAGGGGTTACAACCATCTTGGGCGGACAGCTACTGAGCTAAACATAAAGGTCCAAAGAAATGTAGACAGCCAATTACAACAACAAAAAAGGCAAAAATTAATATATTTTATAGACCAACTGGGCAGCATCAAGCCGGTTGCCTTTACTTCCCAGGACTGGACCTGATACCTATTTAAGGCTGCTTCAGCATGGGAGCTATGGTCGTTATTTAAAGTCCGGCTCCGTCAGGACCTGAACAGACGACTTCCAATCCACAGGCAATCCTCTATCCGCTACACCATGATGGCCCCCAGACAGCCGATTATGGTGCCCACAATATTTAATATTTCATGGCAAGCTGAAAATATGGCCACTTTTTTTAGGGCATTCACAAATATGATCTAAGTTCACTGGCAGAATATCTGATATAATGGCAGTGCTAACAAGGCTATCTGAGCATTCATTTCTTACAATTCCTGCAGGTCCAGGTACAAAGAAAAACTTAACTTATAAACTATGAGACAGTTGTGGACCTATGCTTTCTTGGGCGATAAAATCCAGAAGAAGCAACAAAACACAAACACTGCACCTAGAATGTCTAGGCTGGAATATGAAGAAATAATTTCAAGAGCTTTCACTATTGAACAGTTAAGAACAATAATATATAACTGAACTTAAATGTATGCGATTTACTGAAGCATTCATAAGATCAAATTATATAATTACAGCTGTACAAACTATCACAAAAAATAACAACAGTTTCTAGAAACTTACCCCTTTAAATATATCCACTGACAGTTCTGTTTCCTGGAAAATTATTGTCAATAAATAATCATTTTACAGTTAATGAATATGTTTTGAAACATACACTTTTTGTTTTAACGATAAAAAGATCATGAATGAGGTAAAATGTTCATCTGTACTCATATTTAAAGTCGAGAGGATCAACTTCACTGCACCAGGTTGTATCCCATATTGCCCAGCATCTCTCCACAGGATGGCTAGCTACCTGACGAGAGCATCACACAAAGTATGAACTCCATAGCTACAATGACCCCCCTTCCCCTCCTCCCCAAACACACACCTCTTGCAAAAACTGCACTGGCGGACTGAACAACCCATTTATGAATTGAACACACCACCTTCAGAGTGCAAGGCAAACAGCTGGACCTATTCATTGCAGCGACCCTCTATATGAATTTACTATTACATTATCATAACCATTATTGTAAGTGACATCTCCATATTGAGGGTTGCATGTAAAGAAGTCTAAAATCTTCTGGCCTGCTTTTTCACAGTACACTCTTGCAGGTCTATTCCAGTCTTGCCGTCTGCTCACAGAAAATTTGCTGTCCTCAAGGATGCACCCATTACATTGCCATCCAGCATTGCCCTCATCAAGAAGCTGTGATTATATGAAAGAAGTACCTCAGTTGTATTCAGTTATGTTTTCTTCAGTTTCAGTTTTTGTAATGCTGGCTTTCTTCTCCTGTTGTTATATTCTTCCTATCTATATGACCAGACTCTCATGATGAGTACTCACTGTCTATGTCAATAAGGCAGTGTCAGTTAACAATGGATAACTTTTTCTCTCTTTGTTATTATGAAGTCTTCCCGTCCTTTTTAGGATGAAATTTTTCGTTATTTGAAGCCCTACTCTTGCCAGGGGCTGCAATATAGCCTGGCCATAAATATGGCCTAAAGGCTGAACACTGTTTCTGGGATCTCTCCACGGTGATTCTCACCCACATGGTGGCACATTGTGTCATCGGGTGTTTATCACTTGTGTGATGTCCTGGTGGGGTAGAAAGTCAGTCAGTCAGTCAGTCTCTTTGTACCCACATACAGCTTATATGATGTCAGAAGCTGATTATTTTTGTAGAGAGTTATTTTGGCCATTCATATTATCCTTCTTATTTCTGTCTTGTACTTGCCATTTTTTGTTACAAGCTGTGGTAGGTAAAAGAAACTACTGACTGGTTCAAATCTCTTCAAACAAATTCACTGTTACTAATACTGGCTTGGCTAAATATTTTTTTTTTTTTTAAGATTTTATTTTCATACATTTATACCTAAGTCATTTCCATTGTTCAGCTCTTTGATTTAGTTTATTATTCATAAAGATCATTCAGGTGTATATCGCTGATTCTCTGCCTGAGACAAATGAGTGAGGGGAGCAATAAACAGACAGACTGGCTGCTTTAAGCAGACGCGCAGTCACTGGCCACAAATGTTAGCACTAGTTCACATGAAGTGTAAATGGTACTCACGTTAACGTTAAACACATCTGCATGGGGATTATCATGCCTCAAGCAATTGTTATACTGAAAGAAAACACAAATAATTTATTGATTAACATACATTTTATACAAAATCAACATAGATTAAACTTTTTACTTTGTTATATTTGTTGTTAGATTGATTGAATCTCAGCATTAATATTGGAATCAACATCTTCTTTGATGTCTTATAAAAAACTCAGACCTTGACTGTTCTCTAGCACTACACTTTACACAGAAAGCAACCCAAGGTTAATCAAACAAGACCTAAAGAGCCACATAGGGCAAATATCACAAGACTGCATAAGTATGTACACAGGTGGTTTCTTCTTACTATTAACATTCACCAGGTTTAAACCTCAACAGAAAGTTCTGATTGTTTGTCCACTTCTGGACTTTGGTCTTGATCCAGAACTTGAGTTCTACGTACACATCCATTTTACAGATTTGGCTTATTTATATGCAGACTGCTGGCTCCTTGCCTCGGAGGCACTCACATTTCAAAGGAAACAGCCCTAATTAGTCCCCTCCTACAAAATGCCTGTTGGGGGGGGGGGGGGGGGGGGGGGGGGGACATCGGGTCTGTTCTTTGTTCTCTAAAATGGAGCCCAGGGACCCACAACTGGAGAAAGATTCTAGGGAGGCAAAAAATAAAATAGGAATATAAATGTTACACTGAAAAGAAAGAACTACAGTAAAGCAAGCAACAATCTGTGTTTACTGAAAGCACTAAAAATTCAATGTGGTAAATCTCCAAATAAAGCTGCTAATTTTAACTGATTCATTGCCAAAAGTCTAGTACATCATGTACAGTTATCTTTTGGATTACTATACATCTGTTCTAAATGACCTGGGGTCAAGACCGGAAGTCATGTCTAGGATTGCCGGACAACATCAGTCCTTGCTAACCAGCAAACATTATGGAGATCCCAAAACATTTCATGCAAAACTAAGATTTGATTGCTCAGAGCACTAGCTACTAGTACTTTTACATATAGCTGTGAAACGTGAAACAGCTGAACTTGAAAGGAAGATGCAAGCATTAGAAATGCGATATTTCAGAAAATTCTTGGCATATCACACAGAGACCACATTACAAACGAAGAGGTTCGCTATATAAATATACAGCACATTGGCAACTATGAACCTCTTTTAACTACAGTGAAAAGGTGAAAAATGCAATGGCATGGATATGTAATAAGATACAACGGCCTCTCAAAAATAATAGTGCAGAGCTCAGTAGAGGCAAAGAGGAGAAGAGGCAGACCAAGAAAGACCTGGTTACAGAACCTGACTGACTGGGCAGGCCTCAGGCATGCGACCATGAAATCCAACTGATTGGGTGGAGAAAGCTGATCAGACAGACAACAGAAACTGGTGACCCAACGACACGCAGTGTTACGGAATGGTGATGATGACGATATATCTAAGAAGTCGAAACAATATTTTCAGTGGCTAGAGCACGGATACTGAGAGAAAAAAATGTGAGTTGGAGCAAATAAATGTTTGGACAACAATAATAAGACCCCCCCTCAGTAATAATAAGACCCCCCCAAAAAATGGTGCTATACTGGGCACATCCTGAGAAGCAGAACAGAGAATCACCAAACAGACAATGAAATGAGAAACAAATGGATTAAGGAAATGACGAATCCAAGAGGAACCTTAAGATGGACATTTTGATGAGACAGACTAAAGGTACTGGACTCAATTCGATGATATCGAAATGACTGCAAGGATAGAATAGACAGGAGGAAATGACCACGAGCCTTGTGTGACACACAACTGTACAAAAGGATGATGATGAACAAAGCAAGTCTCATCTGGTAGTTTGACCCACTTAAAACGCATTTACTGTATTATCTATATCTAATACAGAGTGTAAATGAAGTATATGCTGACTGAACCCCAGGTGAATAATCATTGATGTTGATAACAAGAATTTTAACATTGGTTCTTAAAAAACTTCATTATGGATATGCTCAACAATAGCATTAAAAAAAAAAAGAGGTTATCTTGCATGATATAATGCTAGTGCTACTTACTATTTCTGGAGCGGTTTTGTCGTAAAAACCCTCAGCAAATATAGAAACTACAAATACGTTGATCAGAAAAGATATAAATAAAGCAATGGCCGCTTCAACGAAGAAATATTTGTTGGCTTCTCGTACTTCCTTTCGATTTTCACGATTCACATCTCTTGACTGAAACAGACAACAAATAAGCATTGACTGTGCTGCACTTTGGGTAGAAATAAAATGATAATTACGTACATGGACACACACATGAAAAAGCATAAACTCCTTATGGATCACATTCAAGTGATCTCAGTTGACTGTTTGAAGACTGATATATGTTGTGTAACTCCATATGGATCACATTCAAGTGATCTCAGTTGACTGTCTAAAGACTGGTATATGTTGTGTAACTCCATATGGATCACATTCAAGTGATCTCAGTTGACTGTCTGAAGACTGGTATATGTTGTGTAACTCCATATGGATCACATTCAAGTGATCTCAGTTGACTGTCTGAAGACTGGTATATGTTGTGTAACTCCATATGGATCACATTCAAGTGATCTCAGTTGACTGTCTGAAGACTGGTATATGTTGTGTAACTCCATATGGATCACATTCAAGTGATCTCAGTTGACTGTCTGAAGACTGGTATATGTTGTGTAACTCCATATGGATCACATTCAAGTGATCTCAGTTGACTGTCTGAAGACTGGTATATGTTGTGTAACTCCATATGGATCACATTCAAGTGATCTCAGTTGACTGTTTGAAGACTGGTATATGTTGTGTAACTCCATATGGATCACATTCAAGTGATCTCAGTTGACTGTCTGAAGACTGGTATATGTTGTGTAACTTTATATGGATCACATTCAAGTGATCTCAGTTGACTGTCTGAAGACTGGTATATGTTGTGTAACTCCATATGGATCACATTCAAGTGATCTCAGTTGACTGTCTGAAGACTGGTATATGTTGTGTAACTTCATATGGATCACATTCAAGTGATCTCAGTTGACTGTCTGAAGACTGGTATATGTTGTGTAACTCCATATGGATCACATTCAAGTGATCTCAGTTGACTGTCTGAAGACTGGTATATGTTGTGTAACTCCATATGGATCACATTCAAGTGATCTCAGTTGACTGTCTGAAGACTGGTATATGTTGTGTAGACATGTCACACCAACATCAGTCTAGCACTGTATAAAGGTCTCAAGTCGAGAATAACGACTTTATTGTAAAGGGTTTTATTCAACATGGCTCTCTTCACTGAAGGACTAGCCACCCAGTAAGGGTATCACACAGAACATGAATGCTGAAGCTATAGCGATGATCTCAAGAATTGATCAGAATAAAACTGTACTCATGAAACAAACAGCACACTCCATGACTCAAATTATTGATCCACAGACAGCCCCCTATTATCTAGCTCTGTGACTGTCTACACATTGATAAAGTTAGGACATTAATGCTGTGGCTAACCTCAATTGTCTTCCCTGTCCACAAATGAAATATCCAGGTTATAAACATTCCATTGTGGGTAGCTTTCAGAACTGCTTACAGCTTGACGTGATAGCCATGAAGAATGTGTGTAATCCAACTCTGACAAGTGACAAGTGCGGGTACACATTTAAAATATGTGTGTAATCCAACTCTGACAAGTGCCAAGTGCGGGTACACATTTAAAATATGTGTGTAATCCAACTCTGACAAGTGCCAAGTGCGGGTACACATTTAAAATATGTGTGTAATCCAACTCTGACAAGTGCCAAGTGCGGGTACACATTTAAAATATGTGTAGTCTTACCTTAACAAGCACCAAGTGCAGGTAAAAACTCACAATATGTGTAGTCTTACCTTAACAAGCACCAAGTGCAGGTAAAAACTCAAAATATGTGTAGTCTTACCTTAACAAGCACCAAGTGCAGGTAAAAACTCAAAATATGTGTAGTCTTACCTTAACAAGCACCAAGTGCAGGTAAAAACTCAAAATATGTGTAGTCTTACTCTGACACAAACTACTGGATGTAAATTTGCCTAGAGAAACCACACAACAGCCAGGGACTGCTGGGGTTGGTTCTGCAACGTCCTGTAAAGGATACGCAACTATTCTTTTACTCTGACAAGTAGTAGTAGTTGTAGTAGTAGATTTTCACCCCACGATGACATCACACAAGCGATAAACACCTGATGACACAAAGTGCCACCACGTGGAAATAGATCACAGTGGAGAGGTCCCAGAAACCGCGTTCAGCCATTAGACCATATTTATGGTTGGGCTATATTGCGGCCCCTGGCAAAGAGCCGGAGTATGGCTTCAGATTACAAAAAAATTGCATCTCACAAAGAAATGATTATATAAATTGAGCAAGATTACTCTCTAACAAGTGCCAAGTGCAGGTACAAATTTAAAATATGTGCAATCCTACCCTGGCAGGTATCGAGTGCAAGTATAAATTTAAAATGTGTTGTCTTACTTTGACAACTACTTATGAATGTAGGTATAAATGAAGAATGTGGGGTCAGTCTTACTTTGACAAGTGCTGAGTGTAGGTATAAATGAAGAATGTGGGGTAAGTCTTACTTTGACAAGTGCTGAGTGTAGGTATAAATGAAGAATGTGGGGTAAGTCTTACTTTGACAAGTGCTGAGTGTAGGTAGATGTTGTGAGGCATTATGATAGCACCAATGACACCCACAGCCTGCAGCAGCTCTTTGGACCCACAGTTGTCACAATAGGGAAAGAATAAACCCTTTACAACTTCACCTTGATCAGGAGCTACTCGAATATACTGAAAGAAAAAACAAACAGAAAGCATAAAATCTTCTTATCTCTACATCTCTGTCAATAAAAATTAAGTTAACTGTTGATGCTAGTACTTGGTATACCCTGTGTTTCCAGTCCCTCAAGGTAACCATAGAGTAGTAAATTTGCACCCTACCAAGTATGCCCTAAGAGATGCCTATGGGTAAATGCGGGAGTGGGTACCTCATCCCATAAAACATAAATAAAAAAACCACCAAAAATGAAAATGTCTTAATTAAAGAGATTAACACATAATACTCAGCTAATCTAAACAGCATCTTCTCTCAGAAGCTGATATATTTTGACCTTATCAAGTGCCAAGAAGGACTGACAAAAAAATAATAGCAGAAGTCATGGTGACAGGGGAAGAGGGGGTGGGATGGAGGGGGGGAGGGGCAAGGGTCGATCAGCATGAAGATGGACACACAATAATATAAGCGACTCCTTAGGTATGCAAGTGCAGGAGGTGGTAGAGCTGGCGGTGCGGTTTCTTTCAGGCAGACCATGATGACAGTGACATTTTGCAAAGGACCAGCTTAATGATGACCCAGCTTATCAAGACTGGAGGTGGGTGGGGAGTCTTTCTCACAGAAGAATGATGAAACTGAAACTAGATAGTGAATTGAAAAAGATAGTGAGGTTATGTGGTGAGATTAGATTAGAAGATTGGGTCTGATGATGAAACTAGATAGTGAACTGAAAAAGATAGTGAGGTTATGTGGTGAGATTAGATTAGAAGATTGGGTCTGATGATGAAACTAGATAGTGAACTGAAAAAGATAGTGAGGTTATGTGGTGAGATTAGATTAGAAGATTGGGTCTGATGATGAAACTAGATAGTGAACTGAAAAAGATAGTGAGGATCTGTGGTGAGATTAGATTAGAAGATTGGGTCTGATGATGAAACTAGTGAACTAAAAAAAATAGAGAGGATATGTGGTGAGATTAGATTAGAAGATTGGGTCTGATGATGAAACTAGTGAACTAAAAAAGATAGAGAGGATATGTGGTGAGATTAGATTAGAAGATTGGGTCTGATGATGAAACTAGTGAACTAAAAAAGATAGAGAGGATATGTGGTGAGATTAGATTAGAAGATTGGGTCTGATGATGAAACTAGATAGTGAACTGAAAAAGATAGTGAGGTTATGTGGTGAGATTAGATTAGAAGATTGGGTCTGATGATGAAACTAGTGAACTAAAAAAGATAGTGAGGATCTGTGGTGAGATTAGATTGAAGATTGGGTCTGATGATGAAACTAGTGAACTAAAAAAGATAGAGAGGATATGTGGTGAGATTAGATTAGAAGATTGGGTCTGATGATGAAACTAGTGAACTAAAAAAGATAGAGAGGATATGTGGTGAGATTAGATTAGAAGATTGGGTCTGATGATGAAACTAGTGAACTAAAAAAGATAGAGAGGATATGTGGTGAGATTAGATTAGAAGATTGGGTCTGATGATGAAACTAGTGAACTAAAAAAGATAGAGAGGATATGTGGTGAGATTAGATTAGAAGATTGGGTCTGATGATGAAACTAGTGAACTAAAAAAGATAGTGAGGATATGTGGTGAGATTAGATTAGAAGATTGGGTCTGATGATGAAACTAGTGAACTGAAAAAGATAGTGAGGATCTGTGGTGAGATTAGATTAGAAGATTGGGTCTGATGATGAAACTAGTGAACTGAAAAAGATAGTAAGGATATGTGGTGAGATTAGATTAGAAGATTGGGTCTGATGATGAAACTAGTGAACTAAAAAAGATAGTAAGGATATGTGGTGAGATTAGATTAGAAGATTGGGTCTGATGATGAAACTAGTGAACTGAAAAAGATAGTGAGGATCTGTGGTGAGATTAGATTAGAAGATTGGGTCTGATGATGAAACTAGTGAACTGAAAAAGATATTGAGGATCTGTGGTGAGATTAGATTAGAAGATTGGGTCTGATGATGAAACTAGTGAACTAAAAAAGATAGAGAGGATATGTGGTGAGATTAGATTAGAAGATTGGGTCTGATGATGAAACTAGTGAACTAAAAAGATAGAGAGGATATGTGGTGAGATTAGATTAGAAGATTGGGTCTGATGATGAAACTAGTGAACTAAAAAAGATAGAGAGGATATGTGGTGAGATTAGATTAGAAGATTGGGTCTGATGATGAAACTAGTGAACTAAAAAAGATAGAGAGGATATGTGGTGAGATTAGATTAGAAGATTGGGTCTGATGATGAAACTAGTGAACTAAAAAAGATAGTGAGGATATGTGGTGAGATTAGATTAGAAGATTGGGTCTGATGATGAAACTAGTGAACTGAAAAAGATAGTGAGGATCTGTGGTGAGATTAGATTAGAAGATTGGGTCTGATGATGAAACTAGTGAACTGAAAAAGATAGTAAGGATATGTGGTGAGATTAGATTAGAAGATTGGGTCTGATGATGAAACTAGTGAACTAAAAAAGATAGTAAGGATATGTGGTGAGATTAGATTAGAAGATTGGGTCTGATGATGAAACTAGTGAACTGAAAAAGATAGTGAGGATATGTGGTGAGATTAGATTAGAAGATTGGGTCTGATGATGAAACTAGTGAACTGAAAAAGATAGTGAGGATCTGTGGTGAGATTAGATTAGAAGATTGGGTCTGAGTTGGCTGAAGGTCTATGTTCCAATGAGGAATAAAAGTCAGAAGAGATAACACTAGTTAGTTCAACATACTGAAGAATATGTAGCTTTTATCTTTCTATTTTTCTCCCAAATCTTCTTACTTATAATGTGATGCAGTCAAATATACATAAAGTAGACACAGACAAACAACAGTTTAACTTTGAAATAAAAATAATACTGTGCTTAAAGTTTCTCATCCATGGAGCACTTACACTGTTGGTATCTCACATCTGGTATGCACCTTAATTCATCTTTTCTGCTCCAGTCAACACACTATGAGTGAGTCAACACACTATGAGTGAGTCAACACGCTATGAGTGAGTCAACACACTATGAGTGAGTCAACACACTATGAGTGAGTCAACACACTATGAGTCAGTCAACACACTTTAAGTGAGTCAACACACTATGAGTGAGTCAACACACTATGAGTGAGTCAACACACTATGAGTGAGTCAACACACTATGAGTGAGTCAACACACTATGAGTGAGTCAACACACTAAGAGTGATCACATATTTTCTGTGTTCATGCTTTTTTATTTAATTTACATTCAGTCTCAGTTATAAACTAGACAGTAGGACATAGTAGTTGTTTTATTCTGTAGTTTCAAGAAATACAGTAAACTGTGGCATATAAGTCAAGTTTTCAAGCCTTAATTGTTCCAAAGCTAGGGCTCCACTTATATGGTTGGTATAACAAGTATTGGGTAGGTATAGGCCTAACTGAGAATTGTGAGCTAACAATCTTGCAGGCGACTTTTACACCACAATGTATGGACTCTATCATTGCTTCAATTCTTTGAAAATCTACCAAGATATAATTATAAAAGAAAAGAAGAATTACCTGGGTCATGTGGGTAGAGATTTGACATCACAACCTACAGGACGAGCTCATATTAGCTCCCAGTCTCCATCCTGATGGTGCCCATCATCATCATTTGGTCAATAACTTGTCTTGCCTCTTCTCCCCCTCTTCCCCTGAGTCTTGCATGGTGCCCAGAGCTCACAGACACTTCCTGCTTATCTTTCTCTCCAGGTATAGGTGTTCAATATCTTCCATTTTGCTTATTCTGTGATAGATCACCTCTGCATTGCACTGCTGCATTATACCCCCAATGGAGCCAGTCCAACCTCTATCTGCCTGCTCATTCCCAAATACACCTGTGCAAAAAAAACCATTTGACTCACCACTGCAAAATGCTTATTTGACTCCCCACTGCAACCTCTGGATTGATGCGACCATTCCATACGAATGAAACCTGATTCTCCTTTCCTGAGAAGATACTGCTGGATGCCAAACTTTCCTCAGTCATCTTTCTCCCCCATGACTTTAAGGAGAATTAACAAAACAGGCTGACAGCTTTCTAATTATAAACAATACAGGCAATCAGATAGTGTTAAAGCACTATTTCATACCAGGTACTCACCTCATATCCAAAAGAGACAGCCATAATTGTAATCAGCAATGCAAAGAATGCTTCCAATTTCCTCAGGCCATATCGATCCAGGAGAAGAAATGTGAATGTATCAGCAATGGTGATGATGACTCCTGCATACAAAGGGATCCTTCACAAAAGACATAAAATGCTTTTGAAAAAGAGATTTCATACAATATTGTAACTTTAAATAAACAAATGGCAGAATGGTAATCTCCTGCACTTATAACTGTAGTATACAGAAGTCTGAGTAGATCATTATGGTATGTGCAGTGCAGTGGCCAATGTCAAAGGAATCTGGCTGACACTCTACACTCAAAGCAAAGGTCAGATGGACACACAGTGAAACTGATACCATCAGAATTTGAACTCTGTGTTGGCTGCTGAAGACGAGGACACAGTATGTATGAGAATGTCCTGAGTGCTGTAATGTCAGTTTCTGACCCAACTCAACTCCAGTTTAGTACAGAAAAAACATAGCAAATTCTGCAGCACTGGTGGTGTGCATCTGATATGTTTTGTGGCTGGCATGCTTTACTGTGGTTAACAGCTAGGCTGTGATATCCGCACTTGGTCTATTGCAGCCAATCCCTAATTATTTACTTTTTACATGTTAATTAGGGGAGTAATCAGTCTATCCCTTCCTCTCAATATAGGCCCAGGAACCCATGCTAGGAGTTATTGTTATCATGGTTCTGCTCAGATGTCTGCCCTTGACAACCCAATATCATTCATAAAAACGTTCTAGTTTGCTGCAGCAGGACTCAGAAGTGAGCTGTCAGAGTGAGCTTGAAAATTACAGGAAGTGACTTAATCAATGTTTCCCTTCTTAACACATGTTCAGCTCTAACTAGGCCACCATCTGCTTTGTTAGTTTATATTAGTAAGACTAGTGTCTGCTCCAAGACCAGGTTCCACACTGCTAGGTGAAATATGCTTCTTTCCTTGGCAATTACTGGCTTTATGCTAGGATATTTCAACAGTCCCAAATAAAAGTCAGTAAATGAGACATTAGCAAACATACTCTAAAAAGGTATGAATTTTTTTTTTAAACCACATGATGGTTGCAAAAAATTTGTGACAGTTCAAAATGTGATGAAAAACTGGTGACATGAAACTGGCACTCTTCTTCTTCTTCTTCGATCCTTCTGTCAGAAAACATATCAGGAGGCCAGTAGCCTTTATGAAAATTATTGTGCAATCCATATGCTCTCGTGTACCATGCAGTTTTGTCTTCATTGTGGTTGGAGCAGGCCAGTTTGCGTCTCTGTTGTCAGCATACAGTTGACAGTGTTGGAGCACATTCTCAGCATTTTCGGGTGCCATGCTGCAGGGACACGTCTCCGTATTTCCTACACCGAAAAATTTGAACATATGTTGACGAAATCTGATTGTTCTACTTAGGAGCCTAAGTGAATCACTGGCACTCTAAGACCAGACTTTTGTCTGGTCCCCCCCCCCCCCCCCCTCCAAACCAGATGGCAACAGTGGCAGCCCATGACTGGCACCATATACCCATAATGTCTGAAGGCATAGAATAAATTATGTCCTTTGCCTGCCCATTAAAACTCTTTTAAAACTGAGTACTTATTACATTACAATAATTGACAGAAAGACAAGGCTTCACTTGACTGGTCCCACTCAAACAGCTCAGTTTGTCATAACGCTGAAGCTTCTTTACAATCATCATTATCATCATCGTCCTCCTGTGCCCTGCCACTGGCATAGGTGTTCATGCATCTCCACGGACACTGTGTCCCTTGTTCTCTGGATCAGTTTCACCATTTGCAATAAGCCGTCGTCTTGCAATATGTTGTGACACTCTCAACAATCGTGTTCTGACATCTCCCTAGTTGTCTAGGAGATGATGTGTCTACTGGATGATATTACTCACAATCTAAGATGACATAGCTGTTAGAAGTCGACACCGTCTCCAAGACAGAAAACTGTTTTTTGACATCTAAACACTTATATCAGTTGTCCCGTCCATGTCCTAATCAACAGCTTTCACGCAACACATTGTTCAGACGCCAACACGCTGACTTCTCACTCATTCACCAATTATAGTTCTGCGTCTTTAGTTCCACATCGCCGCATAGATGGATCTGGTCATTGCATCGAGTTTCACACAAATGCATTGGCTGGACTTTACTTCGATGGATGTTGTCGTCTGGTCTTCATCTCGCAGCAATCAGTTTCACGTTCGCATTCACACTCGATCACTCTCACGTCCTCTCGTTCTGACGGTCAACACATACTGTCTGATCAAACTGGCCTCTGAACTTATACGCACTGTTCGTTCCACGTGGCAACACGTGGTTGTTCTTGGGTTCCATGTGGTGATCTATGGTCGTTCTCCTTGGGTTCCACATGATAACATGTGGTCATTCTTCTACCTTGAAAACCTTGATTAATCCGAGTATCTGGCTTCTCTCTGTGTTTTAGTTATCCTAGGGGTTCTCCCCCCCCCCCCCCCCCCCCCACCCCCCCCCCCCCCCCCCCCCCCCCCCCCCCCAACCTTCCCAATCAGGGTGAAAATATCCCCCATTACACCAATGATATCCCTCCATGTCACCGTCGCAGTCAATCCGTCATCATCTCTCTTGGTCTGCCTCTCCCTCTTCTACCGTTGATCTTCCCAGTTGTTACAACATACTCCATAGCCTCCCCCTCATCATATGACCAAAGATCAGTGCTTGTCTTTTCCTCAAAGCTGTATATATTGATCTGCTTTCATTAACTTCCTTCAAGCAATCCTCATTAGTTACTCTGGCAGTCAAAGGGATTCTTAACATTTATCTGAGAAACTACATCTCTGTTGCCTCCAAGTTCTAATTTGTGCATTCACATTCCATGATTCACTACCATACAGCAATATAGGTTCTACATAACATTTTAGTACTCTCTTTCGGACATCCAAAGAGAGGGACCTGTTGCACGAGATGTTCTTCATTCTGTGAAATGCAGCCTTAGCCTGGCCTATTCTGCTCTTAATTTCTGACACACATCTTCCGTCTGATGTTATGATTCTAAACAGACTTTTGAATTTATGGACTTGGATTAACTTGTTACCTTCTGTTCTAATATCACGCTGTGGTAGTATTCTTTTCTTTGATATAACCATTACTTCCGTTTTCTTTATTTGCACTCTCCCCCACTACTATTCCAATAACTGTTGTAGATCATTTGCATTTCAGCTTTCAGTACTGTGCCATCTGCATAACGTATGTTGTTTATAACCTCCCAATGTAATTCCTCGTACACCTTTGATCTCTTTTAATATCATCTCGCTATAGTGAGAGAAGAGGTCAGGTGACAAAACTCATCCCTGTCCTATTTCTTGTCTGATCTGTTCACACGCACCCATTCTATTTCCAATTTTAATAGCTGCCATTTGCTTCCAATAAATATTCTTAATTATTCTGAGATCTTTTCAGTCGGTGTTAATATCTGTCAACATTTTGACAAGTTTTTCATGTTTCACCTTGTCAAATGCTTTTGTGTAATCTATAAAGCATAAATGCAAGTTCTTCTGTGTTTCAATTGATCTCTCTATCAGTGTTCTTAGAATATATATTGCATTATTTGTTCCTTTTCTTTCCACAAAACCACATTGTTCTTGACTCATTTCTCATTATAATTAGCAGAAGTTTTGTTATGTGATTTATAAGGTTGATTGCTTGAAAATCTTAACAATCCAGCTGCCGGCTTCTTGAGTACAGCTATAAATACACTTTCGCATAAATATCATTCAACATTTTAGTCAGCACCTCTACTCCCAATTCACCCAGGATTTCTAATTCTTCTACTGTTATTTCATCTGGTCCTGTGGATTTGCCTTTCTTCATATGTTTGATGACATCACTGACTTCCTCATGCAGTACAGATGGTTCCTCTAGATTTATGCTACTCTCCATAATTAATTAATTCTTTTTTATTGGTACTATAATATGAATAACAATATTATCTTCCTGCCCTGACATTGCAAGGCATTCAATGAGTAGAAAAAAAGAAGAATAAGAAAGAAGAACAACAACAATATAATGTGAATAAAACATCAAAGCATACATGTGTGTGCGTGTTTCTGTGTGTCTCTCTCACACACACATTATGTGTGTAGCTCAACAGTCGTGTTTCACTCTGTGCACACGATGGAAGACTAGTGACATACAACTATGCTCCACAATCTAAGTTTCACTGAGAGTATATATTCTGTCACACATACATTTCATTTTTCAGTCTTCCATAATTACAGCACATCAGCATCTGCAACTTAGGCGTTGCAAACATGCTTCATAGTTAGAAGGTGCACGGTTTGATCCTAGCTGCAGGAAATATGGCAGCAGACTGCCTTGTGTTGGTTTCGACAATGACATTAAGAGCCCACTGTTCTGAAACTATTGAATATAAAATTGCCTTGGGGAAAAAAAAATGCTGAAGTTGGTTCTGCAATGTCCTGTAAAGGATACACAGACAACTAACTTGTTAAACATTTTAGCATGAGATTTCAGGACCGTTTTGCAGCTTGCCACGGGGTGCCTGTAATATGCTTATTCTCAGATCTTAATCTGTTTTCAATCTTCCTCTTTTTAAAAATTCCTATTCTCCTTCTGATCATTCCCTTCCCCCCTCCCCCTTTTCCTCCCCCATACAGCTCAGTCCATGATATTCTGTAACAACCCATTATAACATACACATGAATAATTAAACAAACAACAAACAGAACTGACAGGGTGGATAAATAAGCATCTCTCACTTTCCATCAGACAACAGGTAGAAAGCCACGGCTGTGCCTATGACCTCTTGCATGTCTGAGCCAATGATAGCGATCTCCACCATGACCCACAAGATGAGACGAGGTACTTTCTTGTAGTTCTGGTAGCACACTTCTGCCAGGTGATTCCCAGTGACAACTCCCAGCCGAGCAGACAAACGTTGCATCAGGAGACCCAGGATGGTTGCGGACATCAAAACCCATAGCAACTGTCACAGGAGGAACATGCTGTTATTGTCTCTATTTCTTTATATGTCTTTCATTTATATTTTTTAAAAGTCAAAAATGCAAACATAAACAGATTTTTATTTTTATTTTCTCCTTCTGCATTAATCCTCAAAAGAATGGTTTGCATATGTTGTTGTGGTCTACAGCTAGGCTGTGATGTCTGTACCTTTCAGCCCAACACATCAAATTTCAACAAGTCTTCAAGCTTTTATGACATTTTTGTTACAAGCCTACTCAAAACTGTGGCCCCAAAACCCACTCAAGAGAAAAAACGGAATGATTTCATTATTTCAGGAAGAAAATCCCATGAAAGAAATTTTCAAGAATCAGACTTCAGTATTTCAGGAAGAAAGTCCTATAAAGGAAATTTCAAACAGTCATTCTCAAAATTAGTCATGTATCTGAATTATATTTATGCCAGCTAAAGAAACAGAATGTCACATTTATCATGACTTGATATGCAGACTGTCACAGCAACAGTAAAGGTACCTTTTTCTACTAGTGGCCCATCAAGGATATGATTCGACTCAAATCTGTATTGACCATTAGCCTTGGTGGGTGATGTGGCCAATGGCCTTGGTGGGTGATGTGGCCAATGGCCTTGGTGGGTGATGTGGCTAATAGCCTTGGTGGGTGATGTGACCAATGGCCTTGGTGGGTGATGTGACCAATGGCCTTGGTGGGTGATGTGGCCAATGGCCTTGGTGGGTGATGTGGCCAATAGCCTTGGTGGGTGATGTAACCAATGGCCTAGGTGGGTGATGTGGCCAATAGCCTTGGTGGGTGATGTGGCCAATGGCCTTGGTGGGTGATGTGACCATTAGCCTTGGTGGGTGATGTGACCATTAGCCTTGGTGGGTGATGTGACCATTAGCTTTGGTGGGTGATGTGACCAATAGCTTTGGTGGGTGATGTGACCAATGGCCTTGGTGGGTGATGTGGCCAATGGCCTTGGTGGGTGATGTGGCCAATAGCCTTGGTGGGTGATGTGACCAATGGCCTTGGTGGGTGATGTGGCCAATAGCCTTGGTGGGTGATGTGGCCAATGGCCTTAGTGGGTGATGTGACCAATAGCCTTGATGGGTGATGTGACCATTAGCCTTGGTGGGTGATGTGACCATTAGCTTTGGTGGGTGATGTGACCAATAGCTTTGGTGGGTGCTGTGACCAATAGCTTTGGTGGGTGATGTGGCCAATAGCCTTGGTGGGTGATGTGACCAATAGCCTTGGTGGGTGATGTGACCAATAGCCTTGGTGGGTGATGTGGCCAATGGCCTTGGTGGGTGATGTGGCCATTGGCCTTGGTGGGTGATGTGACCAATGGCCTTGGTGGGTGATGTGGCCAATAGCCTTGGTGGGTGATGTGACCAATGGCCTTGGTGGGTGATGTGGCCATTAGCCTTGGTGGGTGATGTGACCATTAGCCTTGGTGGGTGATGTGGCCAATAGCTTTGGTGGGTGATGTGGCCATTAGCCTTGGTGGGTGATGTGACCAATAGCCTTGGTGGGTGATGTGACCATTAGCTTTGGTGGGTGATGTGACCAATAGCCTTGGTGGGTGATGTGGCCATTAGCCTTGGTGGGTGATGTGACCATTAGCCTTGGTGGGTGATGTGACCAATAGCCTTGGTGGGTGATGTGGCCATTAGCCTTGGTGGGTGATGTGACCATTAGCCTTGGTGGGTGATGTGACCATTAGCCTTGGTGGGTGATGTGACCATTAGCCTTGGTGGGTGATGTGACCATTAGCCTTGGTGGGTGATGTGGCCATTAGCCTTGGTGGGTGATGTGACCAATAGCCTTGGTGGGTGATGTGGCCATTAGCCTTGGTGGGTGATGTGACCATTAGCTTTGGTGGGTGATGTGGCCAATAGCCTTGGTGGGTGATGTGACCAATGGCCTTGGTGGGTGATGTGGCCAATAGCCTTGGTGGGTGATGTGACCAATGGCCTTGGTGGGTGATGTGACCATTAGCCTTGGTGGGTGATGTGACCAATAGCTTTGGTGGGTGATGTGACCATTAGCTTTGGTGGGTGATGTGGCCAATAGCCTTGGTGGGTGATGTGACCAATAGCCTTGGTGGGTGATGTGGCCGGCATCCTGCCAACTACCTTTACTTCCCAAGACATTTTCTGGTACCAGTTTTTAGGCTGGGTTGACCTGGGACCCAAGGTCTCAGTTTGAACGAAAATATAATTCTCAATGCAGATTTGATCACAAGACCTTTGGACCGGCAGGCGAGAATCTGGCCTCTATGCTAATGTGGCTGATGTAAACTATCATGTTGACTACTTATGCATGATCTTATCCACCGTTGTGAGGTCTTCTTGTCACATACGCTGATATATCTTGCTACAAGGCAGCTGATGCAAGGAAGCTAATTAACATGGTCTAAAGATACACAATGTCAGGTTACAATGGCAACTGTCAATTTCTTTTAACAATAGTCAATAGAGAGAAAATAAAAGGAAATTTAATAAACACAAAATTATCTGGGCAGTTAACCTCATCAATAAATGCTCGAAGAAGTCAGATGTATCGGCTGAAAGATGCAAATACCGTAGCTCCTAACATGTGCTGCTTTTGTTCCTCGAATCTCATGTCGGGTCCTCTGCTGGTCTGAACTGCTGACTGTTGCTGGTTGTGGTTTTAGTGACACTACTGACGGGATATCTGGACCTTTTTGGGTTTTGAACTTCACACTGGTTGCTAGTTCCATGCTAGCTAGTCTCACACTGACAACCAGCATGCAAAGGTTAGCCTCAACTAAACGTGCCCCTGAGGTTGTCAAACAGCTAGTCTCACACTGACAACCAGCATGCAAAGGTTAGCCTCAACTAAACGTGCCCCTGAGGTTGTCAAACAGCTAGTCTCACACTGACAACCAGCATGCAAAGGTTAGCCTCAACTAAACATGCCCCTGAGGTTGTCAAACAGCTAGTCTCACACTGACAACCAGCATGCAAAGGTTAGCCTCAACTAAACGTGCCCCTGAGGTTGTCAAACAGCTATAATAGACACAGTGGGCCCAGTTCTATATTAGGCTGTTCATGTTGTCTGGTACAGAATAAAAATAGTGTTCATGTGTGTGTCGCTTTACTAATTGGCGACTTCAGGCAGCATCTTGAAGGTAGCAAAACTTCACTGGTTTTCAGTTGTAGAGTGCTCCAAATTACGTTCTAATCATAAAACCTCTTAACTGACTCAATATTAAAGGTCACTGTATTGTCTAGAATTATAAGTACAACATCAGTTAGTTTAAATGTAGTGTTAAAGGATTCAAATCCAACTGTCAGGGGTCAAGAGGCGCGTGGCAAGATCAGAGCACGTGTGATACAAGGTTATTCAACTTGTGCTGATAGATGTGCTTAATTGTACATCTCATATTCGACTCTGACTCTTTGAGCTTGACAATGGTGACAAACTCAAAGCACATTAACACTGCAATCACAGTCAGATGACAACAAAAACAGACTTTATGAGAATGTTATCACAATTCACATGAGGAAGTCTGATGCACATATGACACGTTCAGCTCTGTTTTACTATTAATTTTATTCTTCTATCTTTACTACAACATTCTAAATAACTCAACTTATTAGCTAGCTATATCTAACACAATAACTAAACCCACTATTTATGTGGCATGGCCACAATGCAGTTTACCAGACCATCCGATGGAATGTCTGGTCGACGATAGTCCTTAGTCGATTCACAACCTGAGCTCACTTCCCTGACTTCGGGTAGTTCATGTGGCTTCTGTGGCTTGTGTGCACACCATGACAATCACAATTAGTGCTTAGCTGGCAGTCCCACATTCACCCAATCTCCACCCCTATCAGGATCATGACACCGAGAAAGATCTGGATAGAGAACCTGATTGACTGGACAGGCCTCAATCATACAAATATGAATTTCATACACTGCATCTGATTGACAGGTGTGGAGGGAACTGATCTGGCAGTGAACAGCTAGCTATTGGTGACCTAAAGACACATGATGTTATGCGACCATGCATGATGATGAAAGTGCAGAAAGGTGAAAGATCAAGACAGGGCTTGACAGCTAGATGGAGGGACAAGAACATTACAAAAGAGTGGAGCTAATTCAAAATTCAAACACAACATGTGGTGCCAAAATAGAAATCAAAGTAGTCAATGCAGCTTTAAGAAGACTTCAAGAGACTCCGCTCAGTAAAGCAATCAGCAAGATGACTTTCATTCCAGATTCCAAAAAGTTTGAATCTGGATATTTCAAGCATGAATGGCTGACACAGAGTTCCCTACTAGAGCTGAAATTGTTGTACAGTCCAGGTTATGCCCGACACAGAGTGCTGACTGGTTGATCACCAGCAGCAGATACATACCTATATGCAGTAAAATATGCCCATATACTACAATCCCGTGTATTAACAACACTCTAAATGTGAATAAATTGCCTAATTTTGAAACTTTGCTTGGGTAGTAACGTATTTAGCTTGCTCTTTTCAACTATCAACGGTCTTGGGCAGTATCACATGAACAACATGCACACTGTTCCGACTCCATATCTACTGTTACCCAGGAACAAGCCAAGGAAAAGTAATGACGGAAGAAGCCACATCTGTGTCCACATGCGTGTCCACATCCATGTCCACATCCGTGTCAACATCTGTGTCCACATCCGTGTCCACACCCATGTCCACATCCGTGTCCACATCTGTGTTCACATCCGTGTCCACATCCGTGTCCACATCCGTGTCCACATCTGTGTCCACATCCGTGTCCACATCTGTGTCAACATCCGTGTCAACATCCGTGTCCACATCTGTGTCCACATCCGTGTCCACATCCGTGTTCCATGACCTGATTCTTTAGTAGTAGTAATGTCGTACCCCACCAGGACATCACACAAGCGATAAACACCAGGTCACACAGCTGTCAGGCTATATTTAGGACTCCTGGCAAAAGCCAGGGTGCAGCTTCAAAATAACAAAAAAAATTGCATCTCACAAGGGGAGGATGTTGCTTAATGCTAGGTACTTCCATACCTGGTTCTTTAGATGCTAGTACTAGTATTTATTTATCAACAGTTACCTTGAACTTAGCAACTGCTCCAGACTGAAGATCTGACTCGATATTTCCAGGGTCAAGGTAGGCAATACTCATGAGAAAACCTGGACCAGTGAATGCCCAGAGTTTGCGGAAACTGAAACATTCTTCCTGAGAGTGACAGAAACAAAGTGAGGGAGAAAAAAGAATTATAAATACACAGTAATGCATAACAAATGAACAAACCAATGACCCAAGTGGTTAATGACCCTTTTCCAAGCCTTTAGAAGTATTAGACATATGGTGCTGGCTACAGATTTGTATAGACCAATTGGATTTCACAAGATAATATAGTCAATATCATGATGGATAGCTTTACTTCCCAGAAAATTGTCATATACCCATTCTAATGTGAGTTGATCTGGAAGCTGAAATCAATTTTTTTTAATATCCAGAAACAATGACCATTGGCTTGGTACTATGGATATCGCACCCCTTCGGTCTTGATTCCATGGTAGAAATGTGGCTTTTCTGCCTACCCCCAGTTGTGAACCCGAACCACAAGGTGTTCGTCACCTGGTCGCTGTGCATTTAGGTTTAGCCGACTGAGCTAGCGAGCCGAGTTTTTTCTTTTCTTTTTTGAACTGACCCTGTGTCGAGGGTTTTTAAAATCATGACTAATCAACAAAATTCCGGATGAGGATGGTCAGCATCTGTGTTGGATTATCACGTACCATTTCTAGCACTTTTACCGAAGTCAGCATCTGAGTTGGATTATCAAGTACCATTTCTAGCAATTTTACCGCAGTCAGTATCTGGGCTGAATTATCATGTACTTTTTCAAGCACTTTTACAGCAGTTTGAATCTGGGTTCCATTATCATGTACTATTTCTAGCACTTTCACAGCACTCAGCATTAAGAGGAGTAAAAAGCAATGTGTAGTAATTTGACTGTACTGTTTTATTTCTCTTGCATTTTTACTGTTTCTAACTCATGCTCTTCTCCTTTGGAACCATTTCTGTATATGGTAACATTGCTTTTTGTTTGTTACACATGACTATTTGCATCATATTTTATTATTTGAGTTGAAGAGATTTAGGCCACGAGGCAGATAAATAGAAGACAGTGTAGAGATAATATTCAAGCAGACCTACAAGCACTTGCAGTCACCAATTGGAAAGAGAAGGCCAGTTAAAGACATGAATGGAGACAGGTGATATCTGCAGCAATTACCCTTAAGGGCTTTGAGCGATGAACAAGGAAAAAAAAAAGAAAGTAAAGTTTAAATTATGACTGCTTTAAAAAACAATGTGGTGGTTTCCCCTTATCTTCCACATCCACATAAGTAGAAAAAAAAAAGTAAGTAAAGGACCCTTTTCCACGCATAGAGGGCTAGACCTACATTTTACAGACCAATCGGCACAAGATGGGTGATGTGGTCAGCATCACGTCGGCCACCTTTACTTCCCGGGACTGCACCCGGTACCCATTCAAGGCTGGGTCGACCTAGGAGCCAAAGTCATTTTTGATAAAAATCCGGCTCTGCCAGGGAGCAAACCCACGACCCACATGGAAGTATGTTACCTCTGCCTTTGACAGGCTTATTTTGACCGTGAGGACAAGGGAGTGCCTCGCTCTGGTCAACTGCAGAGCTGTCTACTCATACCTGTGGCTACTAGGTTCCCATAGCTGCAGTTATATGTCATCGCACAACCACCGTATGTTGCCCATCCTCACCACCTGGAAGTGTATTTGGGAGTTTCCTTTTGTTAGTGTGTGAGATCACAACAGCGTTTATCTTACCATCAAGTACTTTTTTTTATAGGAAAGTATTAAAGAACTTGCAGCCGTGGAGATGCCGTTTCTGAGATGAGCTGAGGACATCACGGATAGCCAGTGACTAAGAGAATGGCTACTTAAATTAGAATACTATATACAACTTCAAGAAAGAGGCAGTCAGTGCTCTTTGGTCATGTGATAAAAACAGAGGTACTAAAGTCCATCACGATGACTGGAAAGATTGAAGAAGAGGGAGAGGCTGGCCAAGAGAGACGATGCTTGACAGTCTGATCAGGATATGTGGAGACATGAGCGTCAACACCGCCTGGCAGGACATATCATGATGAAGATAAAAGTATCTGCTGGTGGAGTCAATCTCTTGTTTATGTGTAACATGCATGGCATGGTAGTAGGTGTGTGATTCAATCCATTTATTTGTTTCCCAGCTCTTCAGTTCTAATAAGTTACTGCACGTTGTCATGAGCATATTAGTTCTCTGTAGAAAATTAAAATTTGCAGTTGTTTTAAATATTTGAAGTGGAAATGTCTGAGCAATTGATAACGCAGTGGCAATGTTATACTTGGGTTCCTTTCGGTAACATTGAGAAGCTTAAAAAATGTCAACAATGTGAAAATCTAAATGATTCTAAAACGTGAACTATCTAAGGTCCCTTACCTTGTCCAAGTCAGGTATGGGGATTTTCTCGTTGAAGTACGTGGATGCCACTGTTGTTAGTTTCTCTTTCTCCTCCTTCTGCCCGCCATCTGGCTGTGGACTAGTGTAGTTTTTAATTTCATTTTTGTTGCCATTCTGTGACATCTCCAAAACCGCGGCAGAAGAATTGGGCGCTGGAGCTGTGGATCATAATTTAATTAATATTTTACATCACCGGTGAAAGATGGAGCGATAAAAAAAATAAGACTTGTTGCAGCAGACGATACACAGACGTTGTGTTGCCAGGTTGTTGGCACATGTGCGGCCAGGGAGAGCGGGAAGAATAGAGTCAAATCAAATTAATAAAGAAAATATGACATCATTATCATCAATATCATCATAGTCTTGATGATTGAATGCCCCCCCCCCCCCCTTATTATGGTCACTGTCTATTCATAACATTCATTTGCTGGTGTCTCTACTTTGGGTGGTGGCGGTGATCACCCCTTCCCCAAGGATTGCTGTCAGTAGGATTAACACCCCAAGAATGAGAATCAAACAGTACCGAATCTCATAAACTGACCCAACTGTGTAACATTATATTGCAGCACCCCCCCCACCCCCCCCCCCCCCCACCCGTCGGCGTCTGTGGCTTGGGCGTTGCGAAAGCTCTACGTACTGCCAGAGTGCCGGATTTGTTCCCAGTCATGGACGATTTGATAGCAGAACGTCTTGCGTTGGTTTTGACTGTGGTACCGAGAGCTGTCCATTCAGAGAGCTATGACAAATTATTGAACGTAAAATTTTCCCAAGAAACCACAACAGCCAAAAAACAAAACAAACAAAACATTATGGGGTTGGTTCTGCAACGTCCTCTAAAAGACAAGCCACTAAATTTAGAGCACCATTATTATATTAGGGTTACAAATTAGCATGCAGTCCAAGGTGGGGATGTCGCATGATATGATCTGTCAGGACCTCTTAACAGCATTATAGACCGCTGACAAAATCTGTTTATCGGGCCTTGGCCGCATGCGTTTAAATTATTGATGAAATCTCTGTTCATTATCCTCACTCGATAACAATCTTACCCGAGCAGAACAGCAAGTTACATCAGACTGGCGTGGCCGTTGCAAGTGTCATAATTATAACTTCCCTGGAAGCTGAACGGGGTATCTGGGCTTGCCTGTTGGTCTGACATCGAACCCGAATCTCCCGCATGATAGCCCGACGTTGTAACCACCCGGCCAACCACAGCAACAACCACTACTATTTTTTTTACTACAACCACTGCTGCTACTATGAGGAGATTAAACTTGTAGGCAAAGCGATTGCTGTGACTTCCACGACATGGTCATCAGTGATGTCAGTGATGTCTAGTGACATGCATTTCAGAGGAAGATCCTGTCGAGGGTGGTGGATATGGGAGTGCAGCCTGGAGCACCAAGGGAATGAGTCGTCTGATTAATCACCACATAAAGGGAGGCAATAGTGGTTTTTGCGGTTGTGGTGCTATCGCGAAAAAAATTGAGAACTTAAGGATGTGTACTGAATGTTGTGATGATAGTCCTAGCTAATCAGTAATCTTTCATTCCCATATCTTTTCATTCCCATACAGTCTTTCAACCGCTCTCTTTTTATTCCTACAACTATTAATTCCAACTTGTTTCCTCCCCCCCCCCCCCAACCCCAACATCCTTACTTTGAAAACAGTCTTTTAACAACTCCTTGTCCCCAAAACGAAATATTTTATCCCATACAGCATTATGCAGATTTCTGAGGAGATTTTTGAGGTCAACAGTCAAAGTTCGGAAACGCGGCATCTAAAAAGGAAATCGGGTCGTTAGAAAACGAAACCAAGACGCTGATGTGATCGTCACTGCAACTATGTAGTTCATGCACTCGCGTATTCGAATCCAACGTTGTGTCAAAATATGTAAGCAATCGGTGAAGAACTTTCGGCATTCAGCATTATGCAGATTTCTGAGTTGGCCTACCTATAAAAACCGACTCCGGGAATGCGACAACGAAAAAACAAATCGGATCGTCGGAAAAAAAAACTAAGATGCCAATGTGATCATCGCTGGTGCTATGCAGTTCATGCTTTGTGTGACACTCTTCTTTAAAAAATGCGCGTGTTCGAATGCAACATTGTATCCAAATTTGAAAGCAATCGTTTAAGAATTTTCGGAGATTAGCTATTACTAACAAACGAACGTTTACATTTGTATTTATATAGATTAAAACGAGGGGGGGGGGGGGGTGTTAGTATATAAACATTTCAGTAGCTTCACGCGAAATGGTTCAGAGTCAAATTGTGTAAGTTAACCCATTTTTTTCATTCTCTAAGTTGAACTGTCATGACCATATTTTCTCTTGTTGCGTATTTCTGGATCCTTGATGGCTTTGGCTGTTTAAAGGCTCTATTATCTTGTCTGCTGAGTTTTCTAGTAGCAATTTTTGCTGCATTTAGTAGTCATCTGATAACGATTGTTGTCGAACAGTTCGACTACACTTATTCGAGTATTTTCCATGTCTCTTGTTAAGCCCTCTAGTTACAATTTGTGCTGCATTTAATATGTCAGATTTTCTGAGGTGTAGCACGTCTGCGGCTAACTGATGATGATGAATTCTAACAAGATTATTAATCCAGTATTTTTGTAATTTTCTTAAAATTGCTTTGTCTATACTGCCATCATCCATCATCGTACTTCCTAGATATTCAATTTTCTTGAATCCAGGTGTAATGGACCAAGCATGACTTCTACTAAATATGCTGTTTCAAGACACACTTATCACGAAACCAATCAAATGCTAGGAATAAAGCCAGTCTTACATGTCATCAAAGAACAACAAATGAAGTTGTTTGGACACCTAACAAGAATGCCCTGGTACTATCTGCCACAACGAGCCACACTAAAACGTTACAACGGGTATAGAGCGAATGGAAGACCTCGGAAAAGATGGAGTGATGTCATTAAGAACAGCCTTACAGTAATGAACATCGGTCTTATTAGTGCTCTTGACAGAGCTCATAAACGAATGTTACATCTCCCCCTCCCCCCGACACTTCGATGAGGTACAAGGTGGAAGAGAAGAAGAAGAAGAAGAAGGATAAGAAGAAGAAGAAAAAGAAGACGAAGAAGAAGAAGAAGAAGAAGAAGAAGAAGAAGAAGAAGAAGAAGAAGAAGAAGAAGAAGAAGAAGAAGAAGAAGAAGAAGAAGAAGAAGAAGAAGAAGAAGAAGAAGAAGGAAGAAGAAGAAGAAGAAGAAGAAGAAGAAGAAGAGAACACAACGGACACAATTATCCATGCCACATCTGCCTAGCCAGTTGACAGTCAACGAGTCACGTTACGGCAGATGCGCCACTCAGCCCGCACACTTACTGAGCTGTGGAGTTTTAAATCATTTTATGATGTGTATGATCTGGAAATAGCCAAACAGCGTGGCTGATGTAGCAACAGCAGACGGTTAGATTACATGTTAGTGTCACATACAAAGTATAGTCAACACCTCTACTCAGCTTTCGCTCATCATACAGAAACCCATATGTATGTAACAGGTTTGGTATCAAAGGTCAATAGATGCCAAAAGTTGGACATACCCGGACACATCAAGCTGGCTTGTAGAGGGAGGGACAACAAGAACAGACTCACTGCCCCCTTAAAGCATGTCGTGGTGTTGTGAATTGTAGATTCAGAAAATGGCGCGATGGCTGTCGTCACAATATTGGTGGTGCCCTTATGTGATTAAAATTGATCGCGTGTGCAACTGCGGATTTGTTGGTTACCTCTCTACCGTCGATGATGAACTGTATTTCTAATGTCGGACTGTTTGTGTTAGCACTTTTGATAGCTACCGTATGCTTTTATTGTGTGTGTATGCTAGTGCATATTCTGAGACAGTGGTCTGTCAATCTTTTCCCAAAGACATATATTACACCGAACAAAAAGAATATGATCAAGATATGAACATTCTGTGTGTTTTTCGTTGGCACAGGAGCGGAGCAACAATGGGGTCACCTGTTTGCTATAAAGGTGAAACTAACATCACCATTATCATGTTGTGTAGGGCAACCTTTTAAAAAATATGATGTTTTAAGTCGAAACGAGCAGACACCGGCACAAATCTGTATACTGCTTCATCAAGTATCAGTCTTCAGCTGCAAGATTGAATTCACTATACGTCAACAAACAGCTAGGTGGGGGCAGTCAAAAACCGATCCTCTGTTGGGAGATTAAAAGAATAGGAAAAATGAGGAGGAGATGCAGAAGAAAGAAAAAAAAAAGAAAAAGTTGAGGACGATAATGATGCTGATGACGACGATTATGTATTCACACGCCGTGTGACATCGATTTATTCATGCTTGCATAAACTAATGAAATCAATACCGGTAGAAAAGTCACTACCTCGGTAGACAAGAAAAACCCTTGTCTGAATTACACGAGCTCTTCGCGGGAGTTGTGCAAAACGTGGGTTTTGATCAACGGTAAAAAAATAATAGTAATGTGCAGTTACTTACTTACTTACTGTGTAAGATTTACGGCTTAGCGCAGGCTTTCTATCGCAATGTTTACAAGACACCTGCTGTCAAATGTTACGGCTGATCTGTTGAAGAACTGTCTCACTTACCTGGATGTTAAATAGTCTCTTGTTGTCTCCTTTTTCTTAGAGATGGGAGTCACCGTGGCGGAGCGGCTAGACTCTCGCCTGCGGATCGGAAGGTCGTGGGTTCGCTCCCTGGTGGAGCCAGCCTGTTAAAAAAAATAACCTTGGCTCCCAGGTCGACCCAGCTTGAGTGGTGCAGTCCTGGGAAGTAAAGGCGGTCGGCGTGATGCTGACCACATCACCCATCGTGTGTCGTTGGTCTATAAAATAAAGGTCTAGCCCTATATACCCGATACGCCTGAAAGACGTGGAAAAAGGTTCTTTACTTGTCCTAGAGAAACAATCATATCTGATTTCTCACAATTTACTCCCTGGGAGTGTTCAACGAAAACAATAAAATCCAGTCAAGCCGAAGATACTGTTCTGTGTCTGCAGTACTTACTGTAACATCTACTGTATGCACTTGCCTTGAGAAAACTAGCAAATCATTAACTTACAAAATGCACTTTGTCTTGATCCCAACAGATAACACAGGTGGGTGTTTCCATTTATCTATGTTATTACGTCAATGCATTTGATTTGTAAAGCTATGA